TAATACAAATGCAGATAAAAATAACTAGTATTTCTATTCCAAAAAATGTTAAATTTATGTTACGAGATTTATTTAAAGATATCGATATCGAAATAAATGTATATCATAGTATAGTAATTTCTGATAGTTGTACAAGTGATGTCGATAAGAAAATAATCTTTAATGAACATCATCTCAACATATGTTACATATGATAACCTTTTACTCCGCATACAAGTACCAAATTCAAAGCTAGAATTCCAAGTTCACTTTTAGAAAAACTAAAATTTTCTTATGACGATTTTAATAACGACTTAAAATTACAGATAACACGTTAAGAAGAAGAACAGAATCTAAACAAGGTTAAAAATCAAAATAAAAATTATTACGATAAAAATACTATAGTATCCAGGGGTCATTTTCAAGAAACACCCGCTTTCAGGAAAATAAATATCAAAATTTTTTTTGCTTAAATTGACATTTGGTTGGTTTTTTATAAATGTTTAGAGTTTTGTTTACTTACATTTAAGACAAGCAGTGCACTTTTTAATTTTTTTTTACGTTTTTTTCAGAAAAATGTGTTTAGCTAGCTTAATATGTTAACTGTGTTACCAATTTGAAATCCAAAATTTAATTCAATAAAAAAAAGTTGTTATAAAAATAATTTGAAATAAAATGTACTTAGTTCACAAACTTTTGACTTCAATTTTTTATTTTATTTTTTATTAAAAATTGTAGGCTTTTTTTAAATATTTATGTTCGTTAAGTTACTTTAAAAAAAAACCATTCCGATTCTTTGTTAAAAAATCAATACCATTAATATTTTCTTTTATAGTCACTGTATTAGTGAGTTAAATTTATAAACACGTATTACCAAGTGATAGTGTATAAAAATTATTTTAAGTATTTTTTTTAACAAAAACTAAAAAAAGTAACGAAATAGACTTTGGTATCACAACGGACTGGAGTACACAAAGGATCAGATAACGTAAAAAAGAAACTATATAGGGTGGTACGATTTTAGAGTAATGCATAAACAAAATTTCTTGTAGTGGTGCTCACTTGCACAATAACAACTTTCTAGATTTCTAAATTGTAGACACCCTTTTTCTTTTACTATAAGCTGGTGAAGGTCTTGCGTCCCTTTTAGTACTTGTATATTGCGTGGAATTTTCCCTTGGATGTAATCTATATCATGAGTTGTAATTACAAATAATTTTAAATTGGTTTATCATAAACTACTTTTAATAAAAGCGAAGGTAAATATCCACTTTGTTGTCGAAAAATTCTATTGCGTTACCCTAAATTCCATTGCGTTACCATAAGGTAACATAATGGACTCGGTAACGCAGTGGAAATAGTTTTGTGAAACCATATTTAAAAAATATTAATAAGACATTACAGTCATTAATTACTCTCAATGAGCTTTAGTGCCCTAAAATAAACATAAACATGAAAAATAGTATTTTTATTATTTTTTTTGAGTAACTTAGCGGACAAACAATTATTACATTCGCGTTACCCGCACCTGTTTCAACCGATATCTTCTTCCTGATTGAATTAATAAATTCAGCTGGGTAATGTGTACGTCCGAACATCATTTGTTGATCACGTGAGTGACAAAAAAGTTGCCAAATATATGTTTTTTTAGTATTCTATCGGTAACGCAACGGACGTAACGCAACGAAAAAAATGTCTGGGACATGAGTCAAATTAAAAAAAAAATATATTAAAATTAATTAATTTAGGTATATATAAATTGTTTACTGTATTAACTAAGAATGTTATGGATTGCTATAAAGCAACACAGTTCTGGTTATTCAATATTAAAAAAAAACATGTATGTAAGTTTTATAAAACGCTAATGGGACATGCGAAAAGGTGTGTTTCACAAGTTTCAAATTAAAAAAAAATTGTTCTGAAATAAATAAACAAACATTTTCTGAAAGAGTTTACTAAGGGCTTGTTAGGCCTTTAATTGGTTTTTAAATCAATAAGATCCGATACTTTTTAACAAAGTTATTGGAATTCAAACTTACGGACAGCGGAAGGCGGGTGTTTTTTAAAAACAACCCACAGATGTATAAAAATACTATATGTATACAGATACTGATGAAATTTTAAGAACAAATCGTAGTAAGAAATTATACTCTAGGTACACAGGTCCGTACGAAATAATAATTATAAATTCAGATACAAATTGTACAATAAAAGTAGGAAACAAATTCACTAAAGTTCATAAAAATAGATTGAAACCATTTCACTCATAATTTTAATATTTTGTTACTATTTCATATCAGAAGCTTTCGTAAACCAATACTCACTCACTCAATAATAATCACTTTTGTTGATATAAATGACCATTCAAAAAAATTATTGCAATTAAAAACATATATGTATATATATAGTTCCTTGATTTCTAAATTATGTTCCAGCATAACAGTAAATTCAGAATTCTACGATGCCTGTAATAATTTTCTTAATATAACAAATCCCTTAATAAATAGGTTATTAAATGAAAAAAATTTGGTTAACCAATTAATAGGTCATAAAGACGATATATGTATACAAGAAATACGCACAAAAAGAGGTTTATTTAATTTTGTAGGACGAGGTACATTCTTATTGGAAATTTAGATGACGACGCAGAATATTGTAATTCAAAAATTAATCAATTTACTTCAAATGAGCAAAATCTTGGTCAAATAATTAAGTAACTAAGTCATGTAATTCAAACAACAATTAGTAATTTTAACGATACTATTGACACATTAAATACTAATAAAAAAATCTTAAAAGAGAATTAACCGAGTTACAAAGTTCAGAACTCAAAAGTTTAATCAATGAACTCTCTTCCATTTTTATTATGTTATGTACACAATATCAGTTCGAAACAAATTCATTAATAGATGCTATTAATTCTAACACCACAGCAACTAATTTACGAATTACAGAACGTATCCTCATTGGGTCACTTAAATTTTCCAATAATGCCTGTTATTGAAAATGCACAATTGTTTTTTAAATTGTTAAGCATAAATACCATTTATACCAACAATAAACTGATTTATGTTATTCACATACTCATGTCGGATCATTAAGAATTCACCTTATATAAATTAACCCCGATGCCTATTCGGTTAGTTAAGGATAGTAATAAGTTTATTTTTATTCAACCTAGTTCTAAGTTGATTGCAGTTAACGAAGGTAGACAGAAGTACCTACTTCTTAAAGAGATACAATTTAACAAAATTTGTACATTTAATGTATAAAACTGATAGATTTTAATTTTATTTGTAAACAAGAATCTCCTATCTATTTGACATGATAATTGCGAAGTTAAGCTCATGCAATCCACGATAAACGATTATAGGTACTCGTTATAATTATAATTATTTTAGAACATAATATTTGGTATCAATTAATCTAAGTGAATTCAGGAATCTTTATCACAAAATCTCCTGAAAAATTAACACTTTTGTGTAATAAATATATTTTTGAAAAAACTATATCAAACTATGGAATCTTAACCTTACATATATAAACTTTTTTGGGGTAAACAAAATTATTTGCGAAATAACTCATTTTTAATGCTGCTCAAAAAATTAATAATGATTTGGGAACCTTCTCAACTCTTTTAAGAAAAGTTCCAAATGATGATTTGATGATGACCTTTAGAGCATTATTAAATATGATTATTATTTTACAAATAATTTTACCAAACCCAGTAAAAGTTTTTGGCGCTTGGTTCCTTTTCGATAAGCGTTATCCAAATAAGGAATGTTGTTTATCATAAATTAGACTTAAGAAATAGATTTTAGGGAAACAGTTATTATGTTTGCAGTACGATAAAGATGCATTAACTTTGTATGTATAATCTTTAGGGTCTATTGTTTTGTCTAGTTAGATAATCATCCAAGTTCAATCTGCGCTGGGCAGATAAAAAACCGATTTTGGTCAAAACTAATTTTAACAAAAACTACAAAAGATATTAACTTTCAATTTGGACTACATATTAATGTATATAAGGGCTTTAACATATGCAAAATTAACACTTATACATTCAGTGGCGGTACGTAAAATGGGAAAAATATTTTTTTTACCGTAAATGGCTATAATTTTATACTTTTACGAATGTGCATTAAAAATGAACTTAATTTATCGTTAAGGGCTTTAACATATCCAAAATATACACTTATACATCCAGTGCGGAACGTGAAATGGGAAAAATATATTTTTTTTTAAATTCATCATCTACAGGTTTGCCAATTCTGTTCTCAATAATTATTTAAATGAATTTAAATGAATTCAAGTCCTTGGTATTAAACTTTAACAAGCTCAAGCTCAAGCCCAAAATAGTCGCCATATTTTCAAATGAATAAAAGCAGAATAAAACTAAGATGTTTGCATCATTATAAATACAATTTAAGGTAAACTTGGCCTGATTGACTGTGAAAGGAACAAATATGAAATATACCAAATATTTACAAACTTTTATGTTTAGTAGAACCATTAAACTTAATTTAATTTAATTAAATTTAATGTAAAAAACTTTAGATGAAGCTTCCGCGCCCTTTTAAAATTTTCATTTTGAATTTATATATAAACCTTTTTTAATATTATACCTATATATATGTAGGTATAATATTAAAAAAGATTTGAAATAAATCAATACAAAAATAACAATTCACAGGAATTTTTGAAATTTTTCTGGGAATTTTCGTTCTATAATTTTAAATTGTAATAAATATTTTTGGTCAAAACAAATTATTGTATTTCCTTTTAATATTAAAAAATAGTTTTAAATAGTATCAAATATTTTTTGATAGAGGCTTTCAAAAAATATTTGATATAGCATTGCTATAGCATCCATATTATTTACACTCTTCAATATCAAATTTAAAATAAATTGCACTGTCCAAATATTTATCTATATTCTTTGATAATATTGCCATTACGGTCACTAGTTATCAAGTGACGTAATGCGCGGAACAAACGAAAACTCGTCTACAGGGGCCATCCAGCCCTGATAGCATACCATGTTTTCTTGCACCATGGTATTTAAGTTTTCGTGATCTGTAAAATAGGATCAGAGTGCAGTTCTTTGGTGCCCGGATCACTTAAAATAATAAATTGAAAAATAGAGATGTCTGAAGGAATGTGAGTACCTAATATTTATACAGGAAGATTTACCTAACTTATTCATAAGAAGTTTATGGAGAATGGAAAAAGATATCGATTTGATATTTCTATAGCAATTATAAGCCAATGTAAACTATTTTTTTTTAAATTATTTTCAATGCGTTATCACACCGGTTAAACTGGATATTAACTTTGGGTTTTCAAATGGAACCATATAAATATTATTGCATTTATAAATTCCACGTAAAATTTTAGAAATACTGATATTTGATTTTTTTTTATCTTAAACAGTTTTTGAGATAATTCATTTTCTCCAAAAAATTTTGTCTAACTATTATCACTAATTGTAATGTTAAAAAGTTAATTTTTGGTGTACTTTTTAACCAACGGTCACTCAATCGAAAGCTATTAATTTAAGTTCAAAAGTTCAAACACTATTAATAATAGTGTTTGAACTTTTGAACGTTAAATTGATAATTCTTTTAACGTTTAATACGAAATAAAAACAAGCCAACCCACAGTACAAATATTACACATTAAAAACTAAAACTTTTTCGCACTCGCCATATGTAATTGTAACACAATTATCGACATGTCACAGACGTAGACATTGACATTAATTCATAAATACGAAATAAAATACAATGCACACTACTAGAGATGTAAAAAAAACGGTTTTTTTTTCAGATGTCAAAAAAACATGAAAAAAAACTAGAAAAAAAACGAATAAATCCGCTACAATAAAGCATATAACATCAATCTTAAAAAATGAAGTACTTAGTTTTTCAAAATGAAATTTTTAGTAAAATGTATATTAATAAGTGAAATGTAGAATATATTACTTTTTCATTATTGAAAATTTTGATCGAGACTAAAAACTCTGATTTCTTATTATTTTGTAGTTTCCACATAAGAAACCAATAGCAATGTAAAACTCCTCTAATAGAAAAAATTAAAGGATAAAAAAAATTACAAATTTTTTGCGATTTTTAGGATAGCTGTATCTTCGTTAAAAATGGTCGTAAAAAAAGCAATTTGAAGCTTGAAGTTTCTAGTTTTGAGATGAAAAACGTGCAACGCTTAATCAGAACGAATACCGTAAATTCTAAATTTTTTTGGCTTTCTTCTTTGGTCCACGGAATGTTCTGACTTAACCACCAATGAATAAATGTTCTACAAGAATTTGCTATTGTTTTTTTGAAAAAAAAATTTCCATACTCTACATGAATTTGAAAAATCATGAAAAAAAGTGCTTTTGGTGGCTTTTTGAAAAATCAAGCTCTGAATCAAAAATATTATAGGTAGTTACTTTTTTAGGACCACTCTCTAAAAATGAAATAGTCAAAATTCTACTATTTGAATTAGTACCAGCATTTTTTACTAATAAAATAGTCGTTTTCACTTTTAAATAGTTATTTTTTACTACGTAAATAGTTAAAGTTTGACTAATTTAAGATTAGTCACCATATTTGACTATTTCTGACAGTTAAAAGTAACTAATTTCTTTAATCGTTTACGGCCAACAACAAAGTATTATTTGAATTAAATGCATATACCTCTCCATGGTTAAATGACCCATAAAACAAATAAAGATGCAAAAAGTTTAGCTCAAAACAGTAACACAAATAATATATTAAACTTTAAAATATTATGAACAATATTTATTGACAAATAAAATTTATTTTTATAAGAGCGGCTGACAGCCGACTGGTTATGAGGTTAGGTTGACAAGCTTCTCAAGTGACAGACGTGAGTTCAATCCCAGGCTGGGTCAAAACTTTTTTTAAATTTAAATTTACTAATTTAACTATTTCATTCAGTGGAATTTGACTAATTATTAGTGACTGCTTTTTCGCTATGACAATTAGTCAAATATGACTTATAATTAGTTATTTTTGACTAATTCATTTTAAGAGAGCAAATCAAAACAAGCGCGGCCCTTACTGGTCAATTCGGTGGTGGTGGCGCGTGCAAACCGCGAGACTGTATTAACATTTACTAAATGTCATTTAGTGGCTCATTTTAGTCCAAGAACTGGACTGGAAACATAAAAAATTAGGCAAATGGGACTAATCTTGAAAAAAAACTAAAATATGAAAAAAAAAACATTTGAAAAAAACAAGGAAAAAACCTGAAAAAAAAAACGGACCGTTTTTTTTCAAGTCGCATCTCTACACAATACTGATATTACAAATAAAAAAATAAGCGGTTTTTTTCACATTTTTTTTTAATATCTCTGTAAATATTTATTTTAGGTATAGAGAATGCTGCAGCATTTCAAAATAATGTTTTCTATTAAAATTTTTAATACAAAACATGATTTTGCGTCGAATGATGTAAAAATTGTATGGTAGTTTGTTTGGAATAAGAAAGTTATTGTTATTAAAAGTGACAAAAAAGTCAACGTAAATACCAGACACCCTGTATAAAATTTTTAAACACTATTAATGGCTTTCGATAGAGTGCTCCTTAGTTAACAGGTTCACCAAAAATTAACTTTTTAACATTACAATTAGTGGTAATACAATTCAATATTTCCTTTGGTTAACCTGCTCTGCTTGAACATGATAACAATTTTCATCAATATGTTATGGACATCAAACACAATATATTTGCTTTGAACGATTTTGTTTGATTTGAAAGATTATCCACAAAATGTCCAATCAAATAGAAAGTTTTGCAAATAATAGCTTCTTATGCCGTTTACCCGAAAATACCTCCAATGTATATTTAGTTACTTTTTTATTTTGTTTTAGACGTTCACCCACATCAGCCAAAGTTGTAGCATGGTTATACATAATTTTGTCTATCTTTTATTTAGTATACAATATCATACAGCTAAATCAATTAGAAAATTCAAGCAAAACTTCAGGTACCCACAATATTTTTTTTATACACAGTATACAATTTATAAATTTTACTTGTAGATGTTCAAAATCCACAATTTGACGAGGAACTTCGTATAAGTATACTTTTTTTTTTAATTTAAACTTTACAATTTATATATTTTACTTTTAGTGGTAATACTCAATATTGTTGGATGTGCTCTTCAATTTGTATTTAGTTTGTTAATTTTAATTGGCCTAAAAAAAGTAAGTTTTTACCGTATACGGTATACCTATTTAATTAAAAATGTCACCTAAATTGCAACCCCAATTTTGGGCCAAATTTTCTCGAACGATTTAGGTGACCATCGTAATCGCTCTAATAATGACTACCTATATTTTTAGAATTCTCGCTACTGTTTGCTACCCTGGCTAATACTACATTCTTTATCTGTAGTATATGCTTGTAAATTTGCTGCATGGTCCGTGGTATTATTAAACATTCCATTATTTGTTGAATACGCCTTTTTAGCAGGTATGTATGACCCTCTCCCCCGTGACAAATGGTCACGTTTACTCACAATTATTTGTTTTTATTCCAGGTCTTTCAGTTACAGGATTGTTTATTGTAAACAGTAATTTTAAAAGAATGGGTTCCATTTCTAGAAATCCGGAGGCAAAAGTTTAATTAATATTAGTTTAAATAACATAGTGTCATATCAAAACTGTTACAATAATGTCATTTTTAGACAAAAATAAACATTCTTAAATAAACTTTTTTTACTTACTTGGTGCCTTAAATTACTAAGTGTGAGTGTAATTAAATAAAATATAAATTAAAGCAACGATTAAAATTACGTAAATTACGTAAATCAACGATTTAAATAAATACTAGGCTGTAGACCCGATTACATAATTATAGCAAAATTCATTTTACCAAATCACCACTACACGCGAAGAGCACGTGGACAACATACATGCTATTGGTCAATCTGTGATTAAAGCTTTAAATTAATATTAAGGTCCATCATCGCAATTTTATTTTTTTTCCTCAGCAAGTTTTTGAACTCCCAAACCATTGAGTTTAACAAAATTGACTCAAAAATATTTTTTTAAGAAAATTAAATGCTCTACAAAAAAGGTTAAAGTGAAATTTTTCGTCAGATGAACTGTTTCCTTAAAATCATGCCTTAAAAATTGGTATGGTTTTACATTTTGATCTTTTAAATTGGAATTTTGTAATTCATGTAAAAATCAGTACCCATAAAAAACCGATAAATATTCTTATAGGAAATCAAATGCCTTTCAAAAAAAAGCCTCTCAACATTTTTGGCTAAATTCACTCAATCAAAAGTTATTAAAGGTTAAAATTTCGTTTTGACTTCAAATTTAACCTTGAATAACTTTTGATGGAGTGAATTTAGCCAAAAATGATAAAAGACTTTTTTTGTAGAGCATTTGATTTCCCATAAAAATATTTATTGGTTTTTTTCAGGGTACTGATTTTTACATGAATTACAAAATTCCAAAATTAAAAGATCATATTGTAAAACTATACCAATTTTTAAGGCATGATTGTAGGATAACGGTTCATCTGACGGGAAATTCCAATCAAACCTTTTTTGTAGAGAACTCGATTTTCTTCAAAAAATATTCTTAAGTAATTTTGTTAAACTCAATGATTTGGGAGTTCTGAGACAAAAACTCGTTCAGGAAAAAAAATCTAAAATTGCGATGATAGACCTCTTAATATTAATATTATGGACTCAAACTTTCTGAATATTTTTTTGTCACCCCAAACCATATTTTCGATATAGGTACTTTTCAAAAAAAAAATAGTTGATTTTTTTGGCCCAGTCTAATACACATAAATACATTTATTACTGACTAAACCTTCCCCAGTAAATATTATTTTTACATATTGGCCCAATGATGGAAACGTCAGATTGTATTTTAATGGTCCTATATTTGTATTAAATATTGATCCAATATTGACATACGATATTAACCCAATATAGGTGACATTTATTTTACCACTTTAATTTGTAAATATAGGACCAATATTTGTATTCAATACCGATCCAATATTTAAATGCAATATTTACCCAATATTTGTGCCATATATTTTACCATTTTAGTTTACAAATATAGGACCTATATTTTTATTTAATAATGATCCAATATTTACCCAATATAGGTGATATATATTTTACCATTTCAGTTCGTAAATAAAGTAAATTTTTTACGTTATATACAGTATGTCCACGGATAGAGGGCCCAAGAGGACAAATGGACTAAAATTTTCATTTTTCGAACAAAAGTTATTCTTTATAAAAAGTTCTGCTTGTGTTGAAAAGTCTATTGTCATACTTTAAATTTGAAAATATTATACAGGGGGGTCGAAAAACAAGAAAACATGAAATACTATCAAGAGTAAACTACCTTTATTTTTCGTTTTGGAGCAAAATGACAAATAAAAAAAAGATTTCAAATCCTATTCAAAGACTACTCAGTATTCCAAATTTTATTTTACTTTTAAAGTTCTAAAATTAAATTTGTATAATTGTGTACCTTAATTTCACGTATTCTTTACCTATGCATGACAAAAAACTGACACAGTCTTAGATATTAATTTTAAAATTTCGTATTCAAAATCAAGATACAATATCCGTATTTTAAAGTTATGCAAATATTTTATTAAAAAAAGTTGTTCATAATGTCAGGAAAAAAAGAGAAACTTTATAACTTTATTGGGCATATAAAATTATCCTATTTATTCAAAAACCCCTCCACCGTATTCGACGCATTTCTCAAACTGCCGTCTAATGTAATCATAACTTCTTCTTATCTCTTCAAGTGAAATCATTTAAACTGACTCTGAAATCCTTTGTTTTAGAATATCGATATTATTTTCAATCGGTTGGTGATACGTTAATTGCTTCAAACGACCCAAAGAAACGCATTACCAATTGTGAGGTCCGGACTCCTCGCAGGCCACACAATTCGGCCAATCCATCGATCTCTGAATTTATTGTTTAGCCATTCCGTGACTTCGCGAGCATAATGTGCAGGGCAGCCGTCTTCTTGAAAGTACATTTGTCTACGGTAGTGTAATGACAGCTCATCCAGCTTGTCCGAAAGAAAAGTTTCCAACATTTCCATGTACGAATTCCTATTGCATGTATCCTCAAAAAAATATGGTCCCATTATCCCATAATATGTAATGCCACACCAAACGTTAACTTTTTTAAGATATTGCCGACGTGCAGGAATTCTGAATTCTGTATTTTCAGTGCTCCAGTATCGTACGTGTTGGGAAGCTACCGTATCATTTGTGGAAAAAGTGGATTCGTCGGAGAATAAAATAAGTTTGTGAAACTGATTATTTTCATTTAAAATTTTGTCCCCTATCCACAAACAAAAATCTAATCGTTTTGCTTGGTCTCCATCTTCTAGAGCTTGATTAAAATGTGGTTTATAAGGAAAAAAATTGTTGGCTTTTAATATTTTTTGAATTTGACTTTTTTGGAACACCTGCAAATTTTGAGCTAGTTTTCGTAACGACAGAATAGGGTTTTCCACAACAGACTGCAAGACGACAAAAAGTTTCTTCTTCTTTTTTAAATTATCCACCGACCCAGTGTTCTTGAATTGTTTAACCAGTTGACGAATTCCATGTATTGAAACTGAAACCCCTGGAAATTTTTCAACAAATCGTTCTTGTACATATCTGTATGAACGGTCGCCAATTCCATAACACTGCACCAAAAATATTTTGAAAATATTTTATAAAACGAAATTTATAATCTAAGACTGTCACTGTGGCATTTTTTGTCATACATAGGTAGGCTTCCTGTCAAAAAAATCCCGAGATGTAAACCACTCTAAAATCAGCGAGACCAACGTTCAACATTATGTGGACGTTACGCTATGATTTCTCCTTATTCGACCATTATCAATCGTTATCAATACGAAAAAATCCTTATGAATAAGAAATTTCTCTTAGCGACGCGTTGCTATGAGTACCCTTGTGATTTTTTCCTTAGACGTTAATTCGTATGCGATTTATAATTTTTTTAAATCAGTGGTTTACCCCTCGAAAAATCCAGGACATTTAGAGAAAATTTAAAAAAATGACACAATCAACAATTATCAAATAACGTCAATTTAACAATTTGCATTGTAGCATTGTACATTTTTGTAGATAATGTAAATTTTCACAAAATAACCAGGTAAAGGAAACGTAAAATGGGGTACAAAAGTATAAATTGGAAATTAAATTTTAAGAAAAATAAAATTAGGAATACTGAGTTGAAATTTTACAATTGGTCTTTGAATATTATTTAAAATCTTTTTTTTATTTGTCATTTTGCTCCAAAACGAAAAATAAAGGTAGTTTACTCTTGATAGTATTTCATGTTTTCTTGTTTTTCGACCCCCCTGTATAATATTTTTAAATTTAAAGTATGACAATAGACTTTTCAACACAGCAGAACTTTTTATAAAGAATGACTTTTGGTCGAAAAATGAAAATTTTAGTCCATTTGTCCTCTTGGGCCCTCTATCCGTGGACATACTGTATATATATATATATAAATTTGGGAATAGAAAAAATAGATATTTATAATTCAATTTTAAATAACGAAAATATATTTTATTGGTCTATGTATTACATAAAACATTAAAACACATACATAAACCATGATGTTACAAACTATCATAAAACATATTATCTGTTTTTGTGTCCACCCCCTCTATCTGACGCCCCGCCAAATACAGGGATATGGAATTGTTTAGTTCTAAAGTTGGGAAGCGTTTACGGTTAGCTTCTATAAAGAAAAATAAATAATAATTTACTTTGCAAAAATTAAAAAAAACTTACTTATTACAGCCAAATGACAAGATAATTTTCGAAAGGATAGCTTTCCTTTTTTTTCAGTCCCTAAATACAGCCACTTCCATTGATAAAAGTTTATTCATTATTAGAAAAACTGCCTTGTGGGCAGTGTCCCCACCACAAATTTGTGGTGGGGACACTGCCCACAAGGCAGTTTTTGTACCTTAAGGTACAATCGGTGACCCTATAATAAACAACGTGATAATTTGTATCGAACTTTTAACATAATTCTTACCGGCATTTCAGCATTTTTTTCTTCCATCAAGTGCAGTTTCTGGATATTTATGGTTATAATATTTATATAATATATTATATATAATATTATATAATATATTAAATTGTATAGGTACTTACATTTACTTTGCACAGGATACAAATTTTGTTAATTTGCAATCGATAAATAGGTATAGATATCACGAAGAAAAACTTTTACACGTGTTTCAAACAACCGGATGGAAGTGTCAAACACGGTGTTTGACACTTTCACCCGGTTGTTGGTATGCGTGAATTCGCGGCGAGCGCGCGCAGCATGTGTTGGCTTTGTACAAGTGTTGTCAGTACTACAGAATTTTCCCTACACAATATATACCCAATATAGGTCAAATATTAGAAAATAGGACATTATATATAATGCCGTTTAATTGTTAAAAAGAGAATCTATGTTTTTAGTTTGAACTTGGTAAGATTTTACTCCATAATTGAATGAAATATAAGCACATATAGAAAGCTTTTTTCTCAGTAACATGTTTCATAAAAATTGGCCCAATATTGGGTTAATATTAAAAATCAAATAAATGCGAAGGTGGTAATGCCAATAAATTACCAATATTGGCTAAAGATTACCAATATTGGGCCAATAAACAA